GGGCACTGAGCCCATAATGAGAAAGTTGCTAGGACAATCTTCTGACAACCTCTTGTAGTAGGTAGTAGGGGGAGTGTATCTATCCTGTCCAGACCTTGTTGAACTTCAGTTCCCATCAGCCCTGGCTAACATGCCCAATGGTGAGGGATGAAAGAAGCTGAAATTCAAGAACATCTGGAGGGCCACTGCTTCTTTGCCCCTGATATTAAGCTTCAGCTGATACGCCAACTGCGGCCCTTCCTCGAATTGGAGGACTTAGGTAGTTCATGTGCCTCAAAGCTGGACTTTTGAAATGTGCTTTACACTGGGCTATGTCAAATCTGTAAACTCCAACTGGTTCAGAATATAGCAGCCAGACTGATTACAGGTACATCCAGGAGTGACCACATTACACTGATCTTAAAAGCGACTAGTGATTTCTCAAACAACATTCATGAACATACAGTGGGCCTTGGTATCCACTGGGGATTGGTTCTAGGACCCCCTGTGGATACCAAAATCCGTGGATGCTCAAGTCCCATTAAATACAACAGTGTAGTAAAATAGTGTCCTTTATATAAAATGAAAAACTCAAGGTTTGCTTTTTGGAATATATATATTTAAAAAATTAAATATGTGGATAGTTGAATCCATGGATAAGGAATCCATGGATATGGAGGGCCTACTGTATTTTTTAAATGAGGAAGGAACTTGAAGCTGCTCCAGGCTCTGGGGTCTGTGAGCCCACCTAGAAAAGAGTGTCACAGGTTGTCTGTTTTGCAGCTCTTATTCTACAGAACTGTAGCCTAGTTGACTTGACACAGGCATTCCCTCTGCTTATGGACGATGAATAGCCTTTCTCCTAATGATGGGAGGTAGAGTGGTTAATGAGATGTATTGAGCTGATTCCAAGACAGCTGGACCCAGTCATCCGGGACCTAATTGCCTTGTTTCATAACTTGACATTTCTTTCCCCTTCATTAACAAATTAAATCACACCCAAACAGCCCCCCCCCCAATAAGAAGCATGCAGGAAGACATTGCTTTACCCTTCTTCCTATGTGCTTAAGCTGCCTGCTATCTTTGTAAACCAACATTCCTCTTTGGTCTGACAGCTGCTGTTTCAGGAGAACTCAAGAGGTGATGCCAAACTGTTTTGAAACCAGCAAGCAAAGCAGACAGAAAGAAAATAATAAATCAGAAATTGGTCCCCCCCATCCTAAAAAAGTAGTACTTATATAGGTTTCTTATCACCATTTCCTTGCATTGACACATGATCCTACAGGGCTAAGGCTGGGAGATAAGAAACCTTCAGTGATCCAGAAATTTGGGACTGCAGCTCCAACAATCCTTTATAATTGGCTGTGTGTTTTGACTTCTGGGCCCTGAAGTCCAAACTTCCTGAAGAAGCAGAGATTTCCAGTGAACATATTTGCTACACAATCTCACCTTTCATCACTGTGTCTCCCTCAAAGAAGAACAAGATGCTGTGCTAGACATTCACACAAATATACTTGCATATATCTGTGCAACTGTACTTAAGCGCATGGCAGCCACTGACAGAATTTGTTAAGAGAAAAATTGGAGATTGCATGTACAGAGAAACTGAGATTCAGGAAAGAGTAAATAACAGAAAAGGGTGTAATTATAAAAGGATCTAGTTTAGAGGAGAATTATTGTGTTATAGTTGATGAGTGTCATCAGCGAAGAGCAGGAATTCAGGGAGGAGGGTGGCTATTGTATTTGCTGTTATCTGTTGTACATGTCTTTTTCTCTTTTGCCCCCCCCCCTTATTTATGTACATTTTTATTTTTTTATTTTTTCTGTCCATATTTACATTTGTGTGAAAATTTTAAATAATATATATTTTTACTAAACATCTAATTTTAAAGTTTGTGTCATCCTCACCATCACTGCTCAGGTATTTTGTTACCTGAGTGGTGAAAATGCTCTTTGTTACTGCAAAGTAACAAATGAATGGATAGCTATGATGGAGGGATTAGCCAACCCCAACACACTGCCACTTGCAAAGCACATACACCACAGAAAGACAGCTACAGCATTAACTACTACTGTAATAACCCAAGCTGGGACTGGGTCCTGCTCAAGGCATTTGAGCTGTCTGATGACACCTCTTCCAGTCCCATTCCATTCGGAGGAACCAACTGGACCAGCAGATAAATCTTGCTTCGACACTGGAGATGGGACTGCATCTTCTGTCACACCTGAGGACTACACAATTCTCTTTCCTCCAAGAGAGGGGAATGGTGAGGGGGAATGCTCTGCTGCCATCATACATTATATGCCCCCTCAGTTGACCACCAGATTCTGCGTAACCGTGGAACCACCCTAGAGCAAGAATTTGTATAGACCTGGACAGAGAACAAGAAAAACAGTGCAGAACTGGCGAGCAAAAGGACCACCTTGGCAAGGTACATTATTGCAGACCCACATGGTACAGAGATCAAGGTAGGGGTATCAGGCATGGAGATGGAATAGAGGTGGTGATAGTGGGCAGAATCATGTACTTCTTAAACAGTACCAAAACTGGCCATCAGAAAAGAAGGTAACTCAAGCACTAGTCGACAGCTTCAGTCTGTTTGATGAAAATGCAGTGATGCTATCGGTCTGTCTCATTATGGTAACAGGCAGCCTGATCATTATTCTGCATTTATTTCCAGTGCTCACTCCTCTTCGCATGGTATTGAATAACTGACCCATGAATCTCCAGATGGGCAATAAACTCAAATTACTCTCCTACTTCCTTATGGGACTAATCTGCTGCGATTCAATTAACATAGCTTTTGACCTACCTGCTATGTACCTTAGCTCATTGTTCAGCCTCTTTCCAACCTGCTAACTTGTTTAGATGTTTTTAGTCTGCTCAAAATATTTTTATTCTTTTAATTTTAAATAGTTTTAAAATTGTGAAATCAATCTTATTTGTGCACCACCCCAGGATCCTGGAATGTAGGGCTGGATATAAATACACAAATAAATAAGTGATTAAATAAATTTTGCTTGGCTGTGATGATTGCTAGCATTTCCAACTCTAGTTCCCTTTATGAAAATAGGAATAGTGAAGAAAACTGACAGTAGTTGTCCATCCACATTTGTGACTTTTACTTTTGTGGATTTGATTATTTCCAGTTTTGATTAATATGTTCTCTCTAGGAATCTCTTCTAGGTGCAACTCTACCATAGAGTTGAGCTGAAGAACTTAATGTTCCTAGAGAAAATACTTCTTTAGGCATTTGTAGGTCCTCCAGCATGATTCTATGATCAACTTCTGGCAGATGTTGACCATAGAATTGTACTGGAGGACCTGAAAATTTCTAGAGGTGTTCTCTCAGGTAAAAAGAATAGTGTTGTTGTTTTATTTGCAGTTTTTCCACATTCACGGTGGTCCTTCGCCTATAAACCCCAGCAAATATGTAGGGACCACTGTAACTGTCTGGATAAAGACTGGGAAGTGTGTTTCACATTTTAAAATAACAGCCTTCTCCAACGTCACGCTCACAGTGGACAACAATTCCCACCATCCCCAACTAGCCTGAGCCTCATGTTGGGGTGGACTGTGCCATGCTGGCTGGGGGCTTCTGGGCATTGTAGTTGAAAAGAAGGAAGTTCCCCAGTGCTGATATTAACTCATGTCTATCAAGATCATACTTCCTTATTAAGCACATCCCAGGAGGGGGAAAGAGTCACATATCCCCCCCCCCCGCCCCAAGATTGCTTTGTTCTCCACATTCTAGAAAAATCAGGAAAGCTATTGTGGCTGCTAAAATATCTCTTCCAGAGAAAGGAATGATTGGAGTACTTCATTAAAGTCTTTCCTCAAAGGGAAACTGGGATGGGGCCACTAAAGGATAGGTCACAGCTCTGATGCTCAGGGATTAACTGGCCACCTTGGAACATATAAATAAAAGCATAGACATATTCGGGCTGCAGCGCTTTATGCTGAAGAATCAGGTGGTTCTTTTTATCAGAGGGTGGTAGCAGAGCTAACAAAGGCAGCAGAGCGACACACCTAGAGAAGAGTCAAGTAACATCAGAATCTGTTTAGCGGTCAGGACAGAAACTGCTGATGCTGCTGAATTTCCCTCGCTAGCAGAAAGGGACAAAGGCAGTTAGTTACCTGTGCTGCTCAGGCGAGTGGCTGAGAGAACGCCATTTGAATCCGGAGCCCTGAGGGAGCAATGGTAAAAGAGAAAAAAAGATCCACATAATTAGCTAGGAACAAGGAATGAAACATGCCTCCGAGTCCTCCCACATACACACCCTCCCACACACAGGGATTCAATAGGGAGCACAGGGAAACCATTTCATGGCTTTGAAGCCATAGAAATGCCACAGGATAATGGGCCATGAAACATGCCTGCATATTAAACCCCCTCATACATACTGCCCCTCCTTCCACAGCTTTCTCTAGCTCTTAAGAAGACTCTGTGGGGTCTTTGTCCTGCTTTCTGAATCTTGTAAAATATTCGAGGAGCCCATTTCTGAGTTTTGCATTTTTAAAAAGCCATGTGGTAGCTGAGGCTGCACTGCTGTGCAAGTCCTCAAGGCAGACAAAAATAAGTGAGATGGTACAGGAAAAGTAACAAGACAGAGCCAGGGAGACCTGGCTCACATGGCACCGTATCCCTAAGTGATATCCTACATAGGAACTCTGCAACCCCTGCCTACCTTAGTTGTAAGTAAAGACCACATAAGTAATTTCCATTTTGTGCTTTGAACAGCCAAACTGTGCTATACAAACACTGTGTCATATTCAGCTGGGGCTTAATAGCTGTGCAAAGGAAGAGTTATGAGGGACCTTGTGATATAATACGAATAGCAATGGGTTAAGTCCTACCACTAGATATACAGGTAGGATATGTTAAGAGGGCAACCATGGCATCATTTTGGCTGTTTCTCCAGAGCTTCCCACCACCACCACCACCCACTTCTTCATATTGGAGGATAGAGTTATGTGTACACACATAGTGCTTTCAGTTCCAGTAGAAAACATTATGAGAGTCAGCATGGTGCAGTGGTTTGAGCACTGGACTTGGACTCTGGAGACCAGAGTTTGAATCCTGGTTTGGCCAATGGCAACACTTCTTTGAAGAAACTTGCCAAGAAAACCCCATGATAGGTTCTCCTTAGAATCATCATAAGTTGGAAATGACTTGAAGGCAAATAACCACAACAAAAGAAAACACTGTCCTCAGTCCAATTGGCTTTTGTTCATCAAATTGGGGAAAACACCCCTTTCCCCCTTTATTCAAGTCAAAACTCTCCTTGACTTTTGGTTTCTAAACAGAGGTAAGATGGCCACCTTCCAGGATGCTTTAGGTAAGGATTCCTATGTGGCAGGTGTGTATGTATGGGTCTCCTTGACAGCCCTTGAAGTCCCTTTCAACTCCATTTCTTTTGCCTTTGGCATCAAAATGTTTTTGGCTGGCCCCAAATACCTATTTGCTCTTTATTATGAAGCCCTCCACTCTCATAGTAAGAGGGATTTCTTGTTTCAAAACCCTTTCTAATGAACAGTTGTTTGTGAATTGCTAAAAAGAACAGGATGGATGGGGAACCTGTAATGGTGTGTGTGTGTGTGTGTGTGTGTGTGTGTGTGGGGAACAAGCTGCCCCAATGAACAAACTACATGTTTCTAAACACTGGGCGTTTTCATAAATACAGGCATTTTGAAACAGGATGACCATGTCACAACTGCAAAGGAGGACAAGACACTGTAAAATGTAAGACATTCAAGAAGATTACAAAATAAAAGTTAAAAACCACTATTATAAATTCATAGTGTCAGGTTCAGTGGATTCAGTTCCCAATAACTAAGAGAACATCTTAGTGTGATTAAAAAAATATTTTATTCCTGAAATTGAGACAGAAATTCCCCTGTCCAGGGTTTGTGTTGGAACTGAAAGGTTTTCTCCCTTGATCATATTTAAGAATTCCCATCATCCAGTCCCCTTCCCCAGCTACTATCCTAGGCCTTTGATCTGGATCAAAGTGACCTTTCATGTTTCCTCTTTCCTTTCCTACATTATCATTCAATCACAGTTTAGAAAAGAGAGCATCCCTAGTTTACAGCCCCAATCTGCTTGCAGGAACAGGGTCATAAAACCATAAATCTCTCTTGCCTCTGGCCATTTGCCCCCTCCCTTGGCTTGGCTTCCCACAAGATTCCCATTCCCCTTTCAATAAACCAGCATCTTATCATAACGTTGTATCACCATATCATCTTATCATATCATCATTACATCATATCATCGTGACAGAATCATGGATATGGATCTAACACTTAGTGATGCTCAGAATGGAGGATTTTTTTTAAACTTTCTCCTGGGCAGAAGGTTGAAGTATAGACCATGGAAGAAGAGGGTGTCTGGTCACCTTGCTTTGAACCTTTGCTTCTTTCTTGTTTTTTCCCATTTTGTTTCCAGTGCTCCATCCTCCAAATTCTTTAGGGCCAACTCTGAAAGCCAGTGTACTGTATGCAGTGTTTAGTGCTAGATTAGAACTGGTAGATCAAGATTCTAGTCCCAAGTGAGCAATGAAACTCCCTAGGTATCACCATTGCATTATCACCATTGATGACTGACAGAATATGTCTAATTAGAAATAATTATCACTGAGTTCAGGGGCATTTATTTCTAGGTAAGGCAGGGGTGGGAAACTAGATGTTGTTGGAGTGCAACTCCCAGCATTCCTCAGCTGCTTTGGTTTAGGATTGCTGGGACTTGCAGTCTGACAACATCTGATGGGCGATATGACTCCCACACCAGAGGTAAGAGGATATAGGACCGCATCCTGCAAAATGGCTGTGGAGTTCTTATTGAGGTCTTCCCTTTGGACAAAAGAGCCATTTTGTCTTGTAACAGCAGTCACAATGTTGGCCTGGGACTTGGGAGATCCAGGTTCTAGTTACCACTGAGTCATTAATCTCGCTGGCGGATTTTGGGCCAGTCACTCTTTCAGTGTGACCCACCTTAAAAGACTGCTGTTTAAGTTACCTTGAGCTGTTTGGAAGAAAGGCGGCATGTCAATGCAATACCTAATAAATTTGGTACAGTGGGCCCTTGTTATCTTCTGGGGTCATGGATACCAAAATCCATGGATATTCAAGTCCCATTAAATACAATGAGATAGTAAAATGGTGTTCATTACATAAAATGGCAAAATTAAAGTCTGCTATTTGGAATTTATACTTTTTTTGAATATTTCCAAGCTGTGGACGTTTGAATCTGTGGATAAAAAAAACCCCACTGTGGATATGTGGGGGCCTACTGTACATTACTGCCATTTTAGCAGAAACCTGCACCATTTAAGGTGGCTTTCCTTGGACCTCTCCCCAGCCTTGTCAACTGTTTCAGACAGTAAGACTACAAACTAGGAGGGGGGAAAAGAGGGTCTTGTGCCCACCACCAGTTTTGATGTCAGCATGGAAATGTAAAGTAACATTCTGAACACTACTGGCTTTTCAAGCTGCATGGCTTGATGCCATGGGGAAATGAGAAATCTTGGGGAGAGAAAGCCTGTTTTATCCCAATGCCCAATTTTTAAATAAAATCCACCATCCTAGCCCCTTCCAAACAAACCCTTTCATTGTTGGATATCTGAGCAAAACTGGCACACCCAGGACACGGTGGGAGCTGGGGTTGGGAGGACCAATTAGGCCAATCTATTAGCACAAATATATCCAGGCAGCCCCAGGAGGTGGGTGGTGGCCCCACATTCATTCCAGTTCACATTTAGCATTAAGAATGTCAGACATCTTGGCAAAGTCACAAATGGCCCAGCAGTTGGTTAACGACAATGTTCCGCCTTTTATTAAGTTTTCCAAGCTGGACAAGCGTGCTAATGTCTGTGCTTTTAGTCTCCGGTTGAACTCAGCGTCTCGGGCAGGGGAGCAGCAGGTTTCTATTAATCAGCCACACATGCAATTGGAATTATGTTTGAATGCAAACATATGTTTGAGCATGGATGCAAATGTCTCGGCACGCCAGCTGGGCACAGAGGCACCCTCCTCCTCCTCTTGCCCACTCTCTCATCAGCCTAAAATGACCCAAAGGCTTCGACTGAACAAGGGACTGCTTCCCACAGAGATGCAACACTTTGGTAGCCTTTCAAACTCAGTTTCAGAAGTCAAAACTGCAGTGAGGTTTTCAGAGCAATATGGTAGTGGTGGTTTTTTGGGGAGGAAGCCAGAGCTTTACAGCAATGCTAGGAAGTTAGGTCCCATCCACACTGCAAAAATGATCCAGTTTGAGACTGCTTCAACTGCTCTGGCTCAGTGCTAGGGAATCCTGGGATGTGTAGTTTATTATGGCACCAGAGTTCTCTGACAGAGAAGGTTAAATGTCTCACATTTAACAATCCCCTGAATTCCCTAGCACTGAGCCAGAGCAAAGTGGTGTCCAACTGGATTATTTCTGCAGTCTGGATTGGACCCTAGTTAAGCACTGCTGGAAAAACTTTGGCCACAGATGCAGAACTATTGAGCCTCTAGATCAGTGATTCCCAAACTCTGGCCTTCCAGGTATTTTGAACTTGGGCTCCCAGAAACTCAGATCCAGGTCAAGATGGCTAAGGCTTCTGGGAGCTAAAGTCCAAAACACTTAGAGGATCAGAGTCTGGGAATCAGTGCTGTCAAGATGATTTAAATAACTACTTCCTAGACATTTATAAGTAATTATGGATTACAAATTGAGAATAGGTTTATGATGCTCAGTCTTATTAGGAATAATTTTGCAAAGTTAAAAATGTATTGAACCATTAGAAATGTTAAGAGAAGGAAGAATATATTTAGTAATATGCTCAATTAATATTCAAGAGCTTACAAATGGAGATATGGTAGACAGTTATATTTATGTTTGATGGTATGTTTGGATGTATGTATTTTATGTAATAAAGAATATAAATAACTACGTCCACAATTCCTACACATGGCTATGTTGGGTGAGCTGAAAGGAACCTAAAGTAGGTTTACCAGGGTGAAACTTGGGATGGCTTCTTATCCTATAATGGTTGTGTAGAAGAGTTTATTTCAGCAGGGGCTGGCTTGTTGGCTGGTTGCCTGACAAGCAACCTCTGCTGAAATTCCTCCTTTTACATAACCATTAAAGGGGCTGGGGTCATCTCTAGTTTTCAAACTGGCAACCCCAGTCCTGGTAACCCAAGTCTAACTCCACTCCCTACAAGGAGAATCATAAAGTTTTAATTATCACCTTTTTTAAAAATGAGACAAGAAGTCTGTTTTGATTTGCAGTTAACTTTTCTCGACGTAGTCACCATCGAGATTTACAATTTTCTCCAGCATTTTGTGACTCTCTGAATACCATTATTGTAGAAGTCTGCAGAATGTGCCTTAAACCAACCTTAAAGCAACTGTTCCTTTAAGAGCCCTGGCTACTCGCCCCAAAGAACCATGGGAAATCTGGCAACAAGTACAGAAATGGGGAGAATCCTGCAAATAGATTTCACACTAGAGCAACTGCGCAAAAAAAGCAAATTCGTGAATTAAACGGAAATGTATTTATGGTATTTTCCCGAAAATGCCTATTTGCTGGTTCATGTCACTTTCCTGTCCAATTCTAAGTGGCTTGCGCACAACATCAAGTGAAAACCATCACGCAACTGCGCCTAATATGTTGAATAATCGTGGGTTCTGACCCATTTAAACTTCCAATTTTCCCTGTGTGATTAACTCCTTCCACTTCATGAATGGCATCATCTGTGTTGTCAAACTGGTGACCGTACAACAAATTTTTCATTTTTGGGAAAAGAAAAAGTCACTTAGTGATGATGACACTGACGAAAATTTATCAATATACCATAATAACCTCTGGGTGGTAATTATTACTTTACAATACCGCCTCATACTTCTCCATCTTATACTTTAGTCACTTCTGGCACACCCTGTTAAAAAAATTAAGGACACAATGAGCTGATTTTCTCCACATCATGTACTTAGGGACCAATGACACTGACAAAATTTCATCAATATATCATAATAACTTCCAGGTGATAATTATTACTTTATGATACCCCCTCGTAGCCATGTACCGAGTCCTTAATATCTACTGGGGTT